GTTGCGATCCGTTGCCGGTCATGAAAAAAGACAAAAAGGAAAAAAAAATAAAATTAAAAAAATAAATAAATAAAGTGTGGGTTTTCTGTTCAGTTTTTTTTTAAATTACATATTGGAGTCTCCTTCCCAATGCTGTGAGTCGCCATGGCTTTCCTTGGTGGGAGCTGAGGGCCCTAAAATGACTGACACATATTCAGGGAAGCTGGCTGTTGTGACTTTCAGATGGTGGTGTGTCTGGAGAACAAATTCTGATGCTTACTGCTCATCCCACTTCATTAGGGCTGCTAGAACTCGTAGCTTGATCTGGAAGAAATCAGAGTAGGCAGTCACAAATATGGAATAATATAGGACCCACGTTATCTGGAGCCCAAGGTCTGGCTGAATCATCTTTGAAGAACTGAGTCTATGATTCTTTGTTCTTTCTTAAATTACTAAGTTAATATATCAAGTTTGTTTTGTGACAGTAACTGCTCTGTTGTTGTAGTCACTTTTGTTGCGGTGGTCATCACGTATTTTTTCCATCTTTATTGCAGGTCCCCATTTTGCAGCCGTAAATAGCAATAATGAGATTATTGTTACAGATTTCCATAATCATTCTGTCAAGGTAATATAAGCACATCAGTTGTTAACTTTTAATTGCTTTGTTGTTGTTGTTCTGAAACAAATAAACTTAGTAGCTATTTATTAAGGACCATCTATGCACATGGCAGATATATAAATCATAATAGATATAAAGTAATCCTGAAAGAGTCTCACTAAGAACGGGATCTCTCCCCTCATTCTCACTGGGGTTTGCCAGCTGCATTTCCAGGGCATGTTGGATTGGGCACACTTGGCCTCTCTTCTCTTCCACCCTCTGAAGCCACTTTCAGAGAGATTGGTCTGGGGGGAATAATGTAATACATATACACACAGGACTTACTTAAGGGAGTTAACCTAAAAGAGTAGATTTTGCTTTTAAGACACAGGTTTTAATTTGGACATACAGACTTTGAAAAGTCAGGGAATTGAACAAAATGTGGTGGCAGTAAGTTTCTTAATTTGAAACTCTTCATTTGAAACTGGTGTTAATGCAGATGATCTGAAAATTAAATTTATTATTTTTT